TTCAATTGATGTTCCAATGCAACAAAGTGTTCACATATATGGCAAACATATTGACTTAACAAATAATTAGGTACATATAACTCTTTCGAAAGTAACCCTTCAAAATAAAAAACTGTCAAGTAGGTCGACTCTATCCTTCCGTGCATTCTAGGCTTTGTTTCGCGATTGCAATACTACCTCGCCAGTCATTGGCGTGAGAAGTGAAACGAAAGTCAGCGTTACGTTACTATGCCATGGTTTGTCGAAAATGATAAGATTGAATGTTTGGGGAGATATTTTCGAGCAGCTCTTGTGGATTAGGTCTTCAGTAGTGATAGTTGTTTGTTTATGTTGTTGTTATAGTTGTTTTTCTCTATTATGCTTGAAGCTGATTTATGCTGTTCTGATTGTTATTAGTTTTTACGTTAAATCTGTACTCTTAGTGGCAATATGGAACGAGCCCATTGTTTGTCTTTTGTTTCCAATTTTGGTGTGTTGTATTAAATACTTAATAACTCAAAATCTACTGAGTTTTATCTGGATCAAACCTTATACCAAAAAAAAAGCTTATAAAAAATTGAATTCAAACTTGCACAATTCGCGTTTTTGACCACCCTGTATGAGCAAAAATAAAAATTCGAAAAAGTAACAAACAAGATAAAAGCTGAGGTGTATTTTTTTTTATATAAAATTCAGCACTCCAAATTTCGAAATGGCGGATTGAAGGGTTGCCGAAGTGGACGGTTTTCCTCAACAGAACACCTTACATCTCAGTAGCTAATTACCAAAACCCCATAGTATGTTATATCAATTTTCATCCTTTGAATAAAATTTGAGACATTCCATTTAAAAAATCAGAACTTTGATATGTAGGTCGAAATTGGGACACCCTGTATAATTGCCAATACTTTAGAAATGTGCCCTCAAATGTCATGTATAACATGCCATAAATGGATTTTTCCAAATTGTATTTGTTTATGAATAATATTCTGTCCACACATGGGTGGGTCACTCTGTATTTGTGTTCAGGCCAGTTAGTTTACATATCATTTTGGGTGGCCTCCGAAAAATGTCTGCAAAAAGCTGACGTTATGAATAAATGTTGAAATGCTTTATTGATCAGCATTTTTATTTGTGAAACGTTGTGCATTTCCTGTATCTATTCTATTCGATCATGTGATTAAGTGAAAAGTCTCTTTAGCCGCAACTTATGTGGCAGGGGAGAAACAAAAATATTATTCTCGGAAAATGTGTATATGAGACAACGGTCATATCAGTGTACTTATTTTATTCAACAATAATAATGATTTTAATCATAGAACAAAGGTTAATGATGTCACTTCTGCTATGTTAACTGAAAACTCAGTGAAACCAACAAATCCGAATAGATTATGAGCCAAGCCGGTAACGACTTTGTATTTTTTCGAGTAACGTATTTTTGGCAAAGATCAAGGTCAGGTCTTCAGGAGCTTTCAGCAAGGAATTCAACGGTGACCTTGAATTTGACCTTGACCTTCATCTCTAAGTTTAATCTATGATCAACTCCTATTTCTGGTTCCGACAATTGAAAGAACAGAATATTTCACGTCAAACACGATTGAAGTCTAAGGTCAGGATAACTACTGAAGGTCAAATGTAAGGTTGAAATAGAGGTCACATAAAGGTCGAATGTGTGCTGCTAGGAAAACTTTTAGAAATCTCAAACACAAGAAAAAGAACTTGAAATGATTTTGAAGGTGAAGTTCAAGGTCAAATCCAAGATCACTCGTCAAAATTTACAGTAGACGTAACCTTGGTAGTTATTTTCATTATTAATCCTGTGAGATCTATATAGAGGTTTTCGTAGCAGCACACATTTGATATTCATTTGGCCTTCAGAAGTCATCCTGACCTTGAACTTTAATTGTGTTTGAATGTAAAATTTTCTGTTCTTTGGACTGTCTGTATCAAAGATAGGGGTTTATATTTCAAAAAATGAAGTTGATCATAAATTAAACTTCAAGGTGAAGGTCAAGGTCAATTTCAAGGTCACTGTTGAATTCCTTGCTGTATGCTACTCTAGACTTAACCTTGTTCTTTTTCAAGAATACCTTACCCGAGAAAATACAGATCCATTCCGGGACTTTTGTGTCACGCTGTATGTTAGCATTGCATTGTTTGTAGCCAACAATTGTGTACTTTTAATACGTACCTTTGGATAATTTGGCTACAATTGCCTTCCAAAGTGACAAACCAATACATACGGTTTTTCTAAATAGGTGCCGGGATCTGAGCAGATTCTTGGCTAAAAGAAAATAGCCATTGAACATACGATATGTAAAATAGAAATTTCGATTATTTTGTCACTGACACTGTATTCATTCAACATACACATTTTAATTAATTTTATATGAATAGCTCGTTTGGGGGATATACTGAGCTTCCTCGATAGAATCTCGTGCTACTAATTTGAGATCATATAATGAGTACTACAAATTACTATAAAGTAAAGTAGTTAAAGTTAAGTTTTAGTTTAGTTGATGTTTCGGTTAACCCTTTTCGGTATCCATTAGAAAAAAATATTTTTCTCCAATAAATCTGCATCTTTCTATGTCGTTGTCAGGTAAGAAGCTCTGTTAACAAACCTTAGATGGGAACTTAGTGCTTAATGAAACAAGAAATGAAATAAATCAAAATTACCCCACAACTGTCCAGATAAAATCCCAATGTCAAGGTACATGCCCTTCCATAACGCCGAAGATTATAATATATAACCTCATCATCGATAAAAGAATTTGCTTTTATTCAGTTCAAACTGATTTTTGCAACCCACATGTACCTTCACTATTTTCGGCAACTGTCTGGAATACCAGGATTGTATGGAACCCACGCGATTTTATATATGTTCGCAGGACATTACAAATTTAATGTGAAGTGTCAACAACTGCTAAGCTGGCGGCTTAAATCCGATCGACTTGTAGCATGAACTTGCATTCTGTCTACTAACTACGTAAATTTCGTTACAAAGAAATCGTAGACTTACTTCTTCTGCCTAGTCCAAATTTGTTGAGCGAAACCGACGCAAATAAATAACTGTCAGTGAGAACTTCAGTAATGAAAAACAACAGCGGGCCGTACGAAAATTCAGATTTTTAGCTTAAAGCGGTATTTCCTCGAATAAGTCATATTTTATTTATCATGCAGTATCAAAGTAAAAATAAAGATATCCCAATTTCCATATTTAAACACGCACCTTCCATACGACTATATGCAGTAATAGATTAATCAACTTGAAGTGTCTTGATTGAGATGTTGCCATTGCAGAATAATCTCAAATGAAAAACTTCATCGACTATAAAGACTACAGTGAGCCGCCGCCACTGCTGCATAGAATTATTCTGATATTCCATACTGCGCAAGTAGGCAAAGCTACAAAGAAAATTTATTTTTAAGACTGGTTTTTTATCCTTCACTACTTCCTTGTTGGTGGACATAATGTAATTATGAATTTCATTTGAGATGTAGTTTCTGCCTTCGAAATATGACTAATATAAATTATATTGCTGTTACTTCTTGAAATTAAGCTTTTAGATGTACGCACAATAATTCCGTTTAGAGCTCGAGTAGCCATTATTTAGTGCATTATAGATTGCTGAAAATGTTTATAAGCCTAAATATTCGAGATAACCCCGCACTTTAGTTATAACGCACATTTGTGGTTGCGTCGTTACTACTTCTTGCATTTTACATGTCTTTTAATTCGCTTTTTTCTGACTGAATAAGAAAGGAGAATGGGAACATAATCTTTGGATACATTCCATAAAACCATGATAGTTACTTATGTAACCAGGGTGTAAAGTAGGCGTTTATGGCCCGGGGCGACAGCTCAAGATGCAAAGAATGTATCTGCTAGGAGTTTTAAGTGCTGCCTAGAGCTTATTGATGAAAAATAACCTTATCTTGATCACATAAGGAACAAGGAACAAACTGTGTGTTTAAGAAAACACATGAAAGACTAATATTACCCCCAACCCTTAGGTGCGATATGGACCAGAATCTGCAATGCATTTTTTTATTTGTTTACAAGTCATCATCTTTGATGACGAATTATTTGAGTTTTGCAGCCAGTTACCGAATTATTAAAATTAGTAGTAGTAGTAGTAGTAGTAGTAGTAGTTTTTTTTATAGACCGTCGCCAGGCCGCAACCTGGAGCGAGCGGGTCTACGAACCTCCTGACGTGCTGGAACTGCCGCTGATGGTATAACTTCTCGCTCGCAGGCTGTCTTTTTCTTCATCATCTATCACCCTCTGCTTTCACCCTACATCTCCCTTCCCGGATCGACCGGATTAGGAGTTCGGGGACGTTGGACGTGTCGAACCTCTCGTCCCATTTGTTCGTTCTTCTCTGTCAGTCCTCTGGCATGTACCGATCTGGTACGAGGCTCCGCATATCTTTGACCTCTATCATTTTCCTGGCTAATATGCCTCTTGCCATATTCGTGACACCAGTCCAGTTGTCAAGAGACTGCAGCATCGAGTTGGCAATGCTTTGCGGAGTGACTTCCATACCTAAGCACTGGCTGGATTGTTGTCTATCTAGCTTCCATCTAGGACACCTGAGAAATGTGTGGAAGGTATCGTCCATGGCTCCGAAGTACAGGCAGGATGAATAGTCGCAAATGGCGAATCTTTTAAGATACGCCTGGAAACATCCGTGCCCTGTCAATAGCTGGGTCAGGTAGAAATCCACTTCGCCATGCTCCCTTTCAAGCCGTACCTCCAGATTTGGTATCAGTGACCTCGTCCAGCGACCCTTAGTGGTAACTTGCCATCGCTGCTGCCAACTTCTCACTAGTTGATCGTACGCTGCTTGTCTTCCGGTGTTAGTGGTATCTTCATGCACCTGCCGTCTCATTTCCACCGCTAGGTCTATGGGTAGCGTACTGGAAATGACCTCAACAGCCACAGCCGATACCGTGCAGTATGCACTACTAATTCACAGCCCTATCCTTCTGCTAACTCTCTGCAGCTTGGCAAGATGTCACTTTACCCTCATGGCCCCTTCCCATATGGGAGATGCGTATAGCATTACAGAGTAGGCCACTGAACCTAAGGTCGCTCTCTTGCTTGCTCGCGGACCTCCAATGTTGGGCATCAGTCTGGATAGAAGTGCAACCAGTTTGGCAGCCTTGGTCGCCGTCCTGCTTATATGCTCCCCAAAGGTGAGCCTACCGTCAATCCATTCGCCCAGGTATAACAATGCCTTCCCTGGTCGAACCTCTTGTCCATCTACCAGGAAAGATATTTGTTGTAATCTCATTTTCTTGGTGATTATTACAGCTTCCGTCTTTTCTGGAGCTAAGGACATGGACCTGCCTTTGAGCCAACATCTGACCTCTTCAATAGCCCAGTCAGCTTTCTGTTTCAGCTCTATCTCACCTCTAGCGACGACCACTACAGCAAGATTATCCGCGTAGGCTATGAGCGTTATACCGTGTGGCATTTCCAATTCTAATAAGCCGTTGTACAGGTTATTCCATAGCGTAAGACCGAGAATCAAGCCTTGAGGAACTCCTGCATTCATCTCTATCAGATGATCCCTGACAGGTTCTATCCTCATCTTGCGGTTCTCCAAGTAGCTTAAAAGCATCTGATACAATGTGTTTCAGCTTCCTAATAATTTCACCTCTGGTTGCCACGTTGAATGCGTTCCGTACATCTAGAGTTGATAAGAGAGCATAGCTGCCTCTCCCTGTTAATGATGGCGTCTGACTGCTTGGCAATTCTTATGACTTCCTGTATGGCATCTAAAGTTGATCTTCCTTTACGGAAGCCATACTGTCTATCGGAGAGTCTGTCCACTACATCCATGTCTTCGAATAGTCGACTCAGTAACATATGCTCCAGCAGCTTACTAGATGCGTCTAGTAATGAGATGTTTCTATATGAGGATGGTATTCCTTCCGGTTTTTGTTTTTTCTTGAGGAGCACTACGTCTGCGAGTTTCCAGAAATCTGGGAATACTCCTATAAGTAGCGCTCGATTTGCCAACTCCAATAAAATTCCAGGCACTTCTTTCACGGCGAGTTTAATGATTTCCGCCGGAATTCCATCAAGCCCCGGTGCTTTGTGGTCCTTCAGCCTAGTCGCAGCTTCCTCAAGCTCCTCCATTGTGAATGGGATGCTGGCTTTGTCTGAATCAGAATCACCCTGCTGTGGATGACTTAGTGGAAAAAGCGTTCTGATTATTTCCAACCTCTTATCAAATGGGACTCTATCCGAAGGACCCAAACTCAGTCTCTTGACCTGTATTTGGTATCCTTTGCTCCTACCATCATTATCTATATCTGCAAAGAGTCTCTTCCAACAGTTCCGTTTAGACATTGGTATTAGCCTTCTGAGTCGTTTAATAGCCTCCCTGTACTCCTGTTTCAATTTCCGAAGTCATGTTCCTCTTAGTTGATGCTCTCTTCGCTCTAATGCAAGCTTTTCTGGCTTCTGCAATGTCCTGCGTCCACCAGTAGACACTTCTTCTATGGCGACGGCTCTGTCTTCTTGGCATCGTGCTATCATAAACCTTAGTTAACAACTGGATAAGCTCCTTTGCTGTTGTTAACGTGTTCTTCTTCGCGCGGAGATGTAGCTCATTCCGGAACCTAGTGACGTTCAGATGTCTCAGGTTCCATCCTCGTCTGATCTGTGGTACGGCCTCCACAGTATCCGCCGCTACAACCATCTTGAACACAATGTTGCTATGGCAACTCAGGCTCTCTAAGTCTAATACTCTCCAGTCTCGTATGTTAGTGGAGACATCCTCAGTAGCTAGAGTCAGATCCAAGATAGATGCAGACTCGCCTCTTGCAAAAGTTGGTGCCTCGCCCTCATTGACCACCACTATATTATGTCCAGCTAACCATGCAGTTAGAATATCTCCTCTTCTGTCAGAATATGTCTTACCCCAATCCGGCGTTTTCGCATTGAAATCACCACATATGATAGCTTTGTTCCTAAAGCTTGCTACAGCATCCTTCAAACGGTATAAATCAGCCTGAAAAACATCTATTCCAGCATTAGGTGTAGTAGCAACTAAAAATAGTCACTGAACCGATGTTAACCCAGACAAAGCCATTCCCCATACTATGACTACGTATCACAATTCTTTGGTTCAGAATTCTTATCGCAGCATCTTTTCTAGTATCTGTATACCAGCCTGGACCGTCTGTGAGTATCTTATTCAGTTCCGCCACCACTACTATATCTGCGTGCGTTACGCCGTTTGTTCGAGGAGATCTTGCGCCTGCCTGCCTCTATCAACATCAATTTGTAGTAATGTTAATTCTAGGCCAGTCATTATGTGAAGTTCTTCCTGCTTGATGGCCCCCCACGTTGCATATTGGACAGAACGCTGGATTATTACAGTCTATCGCCCTATGGCCTGGTTTATCGCATCTCATGAACTACATAGACCTTTGCATTTTTCTGGAAGATGTCCATGCATCCAGCACTTCCAACACCTACTACTCTCGCTGCGTGTACGGATCCGGCAGTGGACCAATCCTATGCGAATTCTGGCTAGTTTGGTAAGCTTATCCGCTACTGCAACCGACCCTATTATGGTTGATTTCTGGCTTTCTGCACAGTCAGGCCTGAGAGATGACAGTCTGAAGTCCTTCTCTAGTTCGTCTAACGCGATATTTATGGCTTCTATTACCTCTTTCTCGTTTGTGGTACTGTCGAGGCCCGCTACGTGAACTACTACCTGCCTACTTTTCTTCAGTGTTTTCACTCCGCTTACTTGTTTATTTATGGCCTTGCTTAGATCTTCAGCCTTGCCCTTCCCAACTTCTAATAGGAGGTCTCCATTGCGAGTCTTGCGCATTTTGGAGATTTCCACCTCTACATTTTGCAGATTCACCCCTGCTTCCAGATTCTTAACTAGGTCTGCATATGACTTGCCGTCGCTTTTTACAATCACCCCTTCCCTCTCTTTGGCATTACGTCTTGACTTTGCATTGCGTGCCTTCTCTGGCCTGTCCTGTCGAGTCTTATTTGCTTTCTCTCTCTTTGACCTAGACTCTCTTCTGTAGATACAGATGTCCACGTCGGTTTTCCGGAAACCGAATTCTAGCATCTGCGCTAGTTCGTTGACCCTGTGTGTCTCAATTGATGGTATGGCAATCATTTTCCTGGTATTCTCTGGTTTTTTAGTTTTAATACGGCCTCGTATACTTTTCCTTTTTCTGCACGTCCTAAGGGTTCTTCCTCGGCAAGCAGGTACCATACGTACCTCTCCTTTTTCTCGAGGCCTTTATCTGTCGGAACAGCGATAGAGCTCACCAGGTAAGCGACTCCACCCAGTACCTGCCCTTGGGATCTCAGCTCTTCCAATCCGTTGAACCGTTCTTTAAATCTTCTGGCCACACCTTTTTCCATCTTAAGGTCGCATGTCGTCGGTACTACCAGATCGTACCCCTGTGGTGCACTCATAACATCTCCTGTCACTGTCTGCACCTTAGTGAATATTTCTTGGGGCCATTCCCTATCTATGAGTTCGTAGATCTCTTCCAGCGAGGTTCCCTTGTCTAATTTCTCGCTGATCTCTTGGATAGCTTTCCTCGTTTCATCATCTGCCGCTGCAGTCTGGGTAGCAGCATTCTTTGCAGTAATGCTAGTGTCTCCTTTCTCTACATTCGTGCTTGAGAACAGCGCTTCTGCCCTCCTTCTCTTTGAAGGATTGCCTTCTATGGTGCTGACTTGCTGCCGTTTGCCAAGGTAATTCGTTCACGGAAGCTGATCTTGGTCTTCCTGGTGGTGTCCTCTGTAAACTCTGCCTCTTCTTTAAAGGATCAATCTTCATCGTTTCTAAATTTTTGATATCCATAATATGCGTGGTCGCCAGGGGCGGGCCGATGTCGCCAGGGGCGGGCCGATGTAGCCAGGAACGGGTATACCCTCGGATGTATTCAACAATCCTACACCAGTTCCCTGAGGCCTGGCCATCGCTTAGCCGGTCCCGGAATACGCGGACGGACCGGCTGGTACACTACCTGATCAGGGCCCGAAGGGACTGGTCCCTACTTCAACGTCGCAGTCACACATCGGCCGAGCAGGCTCACAGCATCCCAACAGCTCCTGGGGAGTACTTCCAGTGGGCCACGATGCTGAAATGGTCATCTTTGTCCAGTTCATCGCAAGCTCGTCATCAATCAGTCCGCTGCTGAGTTATTCGGGTTATTATCCCTAGACCGGTTGTCTTCACCACGACTTTAGGAGTCCGGTCTACCCCTTGACAGCCGCCCGCTCCGGGTCAGACGCTGTTGTGTGGGAACCTTCTTAGGTTCACCTTCATCACTTCGAGACCTTACCGGCATGGGTGACCCTACCAGTAGCTACGCTACCGCCGGCATCGCTCCCTGGATATTGAAGGCTACTGATCTCTCTCAACAACGACGAGGTCTTGGTTCTCCTAGAGAGAGTAGTAGTACTAGTAGTTTTTTTTATATTTAACGAGCGGATTAGGAATCTTCATAGATACTCCGAGCTGGCGTACAGTGCATCGAATGTTCAGGAGCATGCCCGATTCACCAACGGGGGTGCCTACGGCCTAAACCCTTCCTCCTCGATCCCGCTCATTCGCTGGTATCATCGCATGCGATATTCTTCGCGCTGATGAGGAGAGTCTTAACTATTCAGGTCAGTTACAGTAGGACAATTTTAGTTAGAGCGGCGTTCTTCAGCTTCTTTGCTGCTTAGGATTTTTCGAATCATCGTATGAATAGCCTTCCAGTGTTCTGTGCAGGATAGCATTACTGTGGCCATGTTTTCCGGTTCAATTTCCGTGCCTAGAAGTGTGGTAGCCTCGGATCTGTAGCTGTGCCATCTGATGCATGCAAATAGAGCATGCTCAGCAGAATCTATGTCTCCGCAGTGTCGGCATCTGTCGTCAACGGCTCTGCCAATTTTGTGCCTGTAGGCGCGGAAAGGTCCATGTCCCGATAAGGCCTGGGTGAGGTAGTAACATGTAGTCCTATGCTTGCACTCAACCCATAATCTGATCGTTGGTATCAGCCTTTTCGTCTACTGAGCCACTTTTGTGGTTTGGGACCACATCAGCTGCCAGTTTTCCAAGGTTTTTAGTCTGGCTTCTTTCCGTCTTTGGACAATGTCGCCCTCGGTTTTCCGAATGTCCGTCCGTTCCGCCACCAGCATTTATAGAGGCGGAATTCCTGTTATCACTTGTAGTGCCTTCGTGGATGCGGTACGATAAGCACTAGCCACTCTCAGGAGTGATTTACGTTGTAGGCTGTCTAGGGTTTTCTGGTGTTTCTTGCGCAGGGCTGCTCGGTGCCAAATTGGAGCTCCGTACAAGACTACTTACTGTATGACCTCGTTCAGTATCACGCGCTTATTAACGCTGGGTCCTCCGATATTCGGCATTAGTCTTGACAGTATTGCCGCTTTCTTCTCCGCTTTTTCCGTCACCCTTTTAATATGTACCCCGAAACTTCTCTCACAGTCTATGTATACTCTAAGATACATCACTGCCTTGGAGGGAACAATCTGCACCCCCTTGAGCTGGAAGGTTACGCTTTTCCTTCGAATTCGGTCTCCGCGAAGTACGACCGCTTCTGTTTTCTCTGGAGCCAAAGT